GGGTGAAAGAACGGCTTTTCCGGTATGAGGAATCCAGTGAGCCAAGGCACAGAGGCAGAAAATCAACATTATGTGCTCAGGGACATCTAGGTGAGATGTGTGACAGTAATGAGAGCAGATAATGAGAAATACGGTTGGGCAGCTAAGGTGGTATCCTGTTTCTTTTGCCTCAAAAGTCACTCAGATGAACTCAGTGTTATAGACCACTACTGTTCAATAATAATGCCACCTATGTAATTTAAAATTTTCTATAGTCACATTGAAAAAAAAAAGAAACAGATGAAGTTAATTGCAATAATATATTTTCCCTAACCCAATATATCCAAAATATTATCATTTTAACACATGCTCAATATATAAATTATTTTACATTGCTTCAGCTGTTAAATTTAAATTAAAAAAAAATCAGTTCCTCAGTTGCACTAGCCGCATTTCAAGGCCTCAATAACCACATGTGTCTAATATTGGACAACACAGCTATGGACAATTGTGAGATTATTTAGCAGCTGAATAATAAGTCAAAAGTGGTATTTTAGAAAGATTTGTTGTCAGTAAAATGCAGAGTGAAATGGAGAGTGTGATGGTTGTGGGAGAAGAGAGAAGTTAGATCTGGAATGGCTTACATGTGGATACTAGAATGGTAGCAGTGGGGTGTTAAGAGCAGAGGGCAAATCTGAGAGATGTTTCAAAGAAATACTTGGTATGTTTTGATAACTGATTGGCAAAGAGAGAAGAAAAAAAATTCAAGAGTGGTAGACAGTCTCCAAACAGCCCTCAATGATCCTTGCCTCCTAGTACTCACGCCCTAGTGTAGTCTGCTCCCACACTGTACCAGGAGTGGTCTGTGTGACCAGTAGAATAAGCAGTAGTGAGGGTATGTCACTTCCAAGATTGGGTTACAAAAAATACTACGGCTTCTCTCTTGGTGGTTCTCCCTCTTGGAACACTGGGTCTGGAGGAGGCCAGCTGCTACATGTGAGCAGCCCCAGGGAGAGGCCCAAGTGGTGAGGAACTGAAGCCTGCCAACAGCCTGGGAGTGAGTTTGGAAGTGGGTCCTCCTGCATTCAGATGACTGCAGTACCAGCCAGCCCTTGACCGCAACCTCAGGAGAGACTGTTAACCAGGACTACTCAGCTAAATCTCCCCCTGATTCCTGAGCCCCAGAATCTGTGAGAAGTGATAAATGTTTGTTGTTTTAAGTTGCTACATTTTGGGGTAACTTGTAACAGCAATAGATAATGACTACATCAACCAATTAAAAAAAAAGATAACCCAATTTAAAAATGGGCAAGAGAATTGAACAGTTACTTTAGAAAAGAAGATAATAAGTATATGAAAAAGTGTTCAATATCGTTAGACACCAGGGAAATGCGAATTAAAACCACAATGAGATAACACTGCATACACAACAGCAGGCTAAAGTTAAAGACTGACAATGCAAAACGGTAATGAGGATGTGGAGCAACCAGAATTCCTATTTTTTGAATTAAGATATAATTCACCCATTTAAAGTATGCAACTCAATGGCTTTTAGTATAGTACAACCAACACCACCATACATTTTAGAATATTTTTATTACTCCAGAAAAAAACCCCATACACTTTAGCTGTCACCCTCCAATTGTCCCACCACCTCTCCGGAACCATAGGTCACCCCTAGTCTACTTTCTATCTCTACACATTTGCTTATTCTAGACACTCATATTAATAGAATCATACAATATGTGGTCTTTTGTGACTGCCTTCTTTCACTTAGCGTAGAGTTTTCAGAGTTTACCCATGTTCTATTATGTATCAGTAGTTCATTTCTTTTTATTGCCAAATAATATTTCATTGTATGGATGTGCCACTTTAAAAAAAATCCATCAGCTGACAGACACTTGTGTTATTTCCACTTTTTGGCTATTATGAATAATACTGCTGTAGACATTTGTGTGGAATATGTTTTCATTTCTCTTGGCTATCTATCTAGGAGTGAAACTGCTAGGTCTTATGGTAACTCTGTGTTTAACCATTTGAGGGACTGCCAGACTTTTTTCTGAAATGGCCACCCATTTTACATTCCCACCCGTAGTGTATGAGGATTCCAATTTCTCCAAATCTTCACCAACACTTATTATTATCTATCTTTCTGATTATAGCCATCCCAGTGGGTGTAAAGTCATATCTCATTACATATTTGATTTACACTTCCCTGATGGCTAATCATGTTGAGCAACTTTTCATATGATTATTCATCATTTGTATATCTTTGGAGAACTGTGTATTCAGATCAGTTGCCAATTTTTTTTTTTGAGGAAGATTAGCCCTGAGCTAACATCTGCTGCCAATCCTCTTCTTTTTGCTGAGGAAGACTGGCCCTGAGCTAACATCCGTGCCCATCTTCCTCCACTTTATATGTGGGACGCCTGCCACAGCATGGTTTGCCAAGTGGTGCCATGTCCGCACCCAGGATCCGAACTGGCGAACCCCAGGCCACCAAAGCAGAACATGCACACTAAACCACTGCCACCAGGCCTGCCCCAGTTGCCAGTTTTTGAACTGGGCTATTCATCTTTTTTTATTATTGAGTTCTAATAGTTCTTTATGTATTCCAGATACAAGCTCCTTATCAAAAATATCATCTGCAAAAATTTTTCCCATTCTTTGGATTGTCCGCACCTAGAATTCTCAGTCCAAAATGATATAAACACATTTGAAAAAGGTCTTGTGTTACATAATTTGCCCAAGCTCATGAAACTAGCAGTGTGCTAGGGGCAGGACAGGACCAGCTATACAATTTGCAGGGCCTAGTACAAAATGAAAACGCAGGGCCTCTTATTCAAAAATTAAGAGCAGAGTATTAAAGCAAAAGCAGGGCACGTCTAAGCATGAGACCTTGTGTGACACATGTTGTAAGCACATGAAGCTAGAGGGACAGAGAAGATTTGAGTCTTGGACCAAGCTCTTTCCAATAACATATGCTGGGTCAGATGATTTGTTCATTTATTGTGCACACTGAATGAGACATGCTGGCAATGTCAGATGGTGATGTCAAATAGCGATGTCCCATAGCCATTTAAAAACTGAATTTGCAAAAAACCTACGTATCCTTCAAAGCCCAACTTGTGATACTTTCTCCAAAGTTCTTAGCTAGAATCTGCACAATATTGTATGAAATTGCTTTTCCTAAAATCATTTTTATAACATTTCAAAATTTCCCCATCCTTGAAATGAGTCAGAGGTTTAAGGACTTAGGAAACTTAATATGTATTTTCCTTGAAAATTGCATTTTGGGGGCCGGCTCCATGGCCGAGTAGTTAAGTTCGCGCGCGCTCCACTGCGGTGGCCCAGGGTTCAGATCCTGGGCGCGGACATGGCACTGCTCGTCAGGCCACGTTGCGGCGGCATCCCGCATCCCCCAACTAGAAGGACCTGCAACTAAGATATACAACTATGTACTATGTATGGGGTGGGTGGGGGGGGGGGGTTGGGAAATAAAGCAGAAAAAAAAAAAGAAAAAAGATTGGTAACAGTTGTTAGCCCAGGTGCCAATCCTTAAAAAAAAAAAAAAAGAAGATTGGCAACAGTTGTTAGCCTAGGTGCCAATCTTTAAAAAAAAATAAATAAAAATTGCATTTTGATCCATCTCACAACTCATTTGATATCTGATATTTATCATATCTTGACACTTCAGTCAAAACTTTCAATTTAACATTCTGTCACAGTAATTACCTAGAGAGAATAATATATCGTTATGCATGGCTGTCTTATCCACCAGACCACAGGCTAGGACTGGCTCAATCATCTTATTTACTTTATTCAGGTTATCACTTGTATATTACTGGCCCAGAAAGGCCTTTCCTGACCATCTTATCCAAGGAGGCATTTCCAGTCACTTGTTAGAGATAAAGATAGTATCTTATTGTGAAATATAAAATTCACAAAGGCAGAATCATTTACTCTTTTTTTCTTCTGATATTTCTAGCCCCTTACAGTTCCTAGTATAAATTACAAAAAATCCAAAAACCAGAAAAGCAAAACTGCTTTACAGATCAGGAGTTCCTTCTGTGACGCTTCGTTTGTCACCTGTTCAGTGGGTATTTGGTGATTATATGTGACCTAGGTAGGAAGAGTAACTTTTGATCAAAAACTTGACAATATCTTCTTAAATGTCAAGGAACTAAGACTAACCCCTTTAACTTCTTTCTTTTCAAAATTCCTCACTGAATTCCTTTTTTCTGATAAGCGTGTCAATACTTTAGTGGTGAAGAAATGTTTGCTGCTGGACATCTGGGTGTATCTGGATGCAGAGGAACATTCTTCTGAATCAACAGTGTATCCTAGTGGATAGGTTAAATCTTGATTTGTTTAAGCATTAGCTACTTGCTGAATGTAATTATGCTTTCACTGATAACAGTAGTTTTTAGTTTAGTTGGTGAGACGTAATAGCACCTCTTAATGAGACAATTCTTGTCCATCACTGAGGAAGAATGGAGAAGTTATGACTTTTCCAAAAAACTGGACATAGCTCAGTCTTAATGTGAAAGGAGTTCTGCTGTGTTGGGTTAGGAATAAAGCACATCGATGTCCTCCCGTTATCAAGTATATTTCACCTGTTTGATTCTCAAAGAGAAGAATACTAGGTTTACATTTTTAATTAAAATTCCGTAGAAGTCTTTCGGGTCAATCCCTGCTAGTCAAATTAAGCAGGCCAAGCCTAGACCACTACGTCTTTTCCCCAGCGGCCCCACTAGAGAGCCAAGTCTTTCGGCCCAGCCGGCCCGACTCTGCTCTCTGCTGGCGCCTTCTGTCCGGCCCCGGCCCCGCCCCGGCCCCGCCCCCGCCCCCGCCCCCCCCCCCTCCGCCCCGCCCCGTCCCGTCTCCCTTCCCCCGTCCTCAACCCATTTCTTCAGCCAGTGGTTCTCGCCCCGCCCCTCAGCGCCGCGCCGCAGAAAAATCCCGCCGTGGGCCGCTCTGGCCCCCTGGAGGACTCAGCATCTGTGTCCGGCGGTGCACGCCGGCGGTGGGCGGGTCCGACGTGAGGTGCGCGGAGCCATTGGGGTAGGCTGTGTCGGGCTGCTCTAGTCTCGTGTTTTGGTGATGCGGTCGGGCGAGATGTGGAGGCTCCTGTCGAGGTGAGTGAGCGAGCGGCCGAGGGCGCGCCCGTCAGCTGCGCTCGCCGACGTGGAAAAGCGTCGGGGTGGGGACGGCCTCTCCTCGAAATTTCGAGTCTCCCTTGGACGCGAGCCCCGGCTTTCCTCGGTGTCTCGCCGTTACTCTTTCTGGCCACCTCTTTGAAGCACCACCTTTGTGTTCTGCCCCTCTCGCTCCTACTCAGCCTTGACCCCTATTTCTTTCTTCAAAGTTGAGGATAGTTTGGGGGACACGCAGGGTTTCAAGGTGGAGGAATTCGTGGCGTGTTTTGTGCGTGGCCAGTGTTGCCCCTGCGCTGGTGGGGCGGCTTTACCGTTCCGGTCCATCGGATGGCTCCAGCCGTCCTGCAGGTGTCCGGACATTTCAGCCTAGTGTTGCGGACACGCAACGTGGCGTGCTGGAGTAAGCGTGCACACATCGTGTTTAACTTTTGAAAGTGCTGCTCGATGCAGCTGGAGCTCAGCTGAGGAAATCTGGCCGCGGTCGTTTGAGGGCGCTGGGCTGCGTCAGGCTCGCACCTGCTGCCTGCCGCCTTAGGTTACCAGGTAGAGCTGAGACCCTTTAAGGGAGAACCGCCTTATTTCCGCGACAGCTTAAATTCCTGGGTTCCTTAGCTCACGGAGAGCCTTGGTAAATACCAAGAAAATCAGTCCATTGAGTCATTGCTGCTGCTTTTTTGAAATTGTGAGCAGATACCAAATTATTTCAGAAAGAAATTGGAAGACATGTTTAAGTTAACTGACTTGGGAAAGAATCGGTCATTCGCAGAGTGCAGGATGGCTTTATTCCACCCCACATTTCAAGGTGCCGACTGGTTAGGTGAGTCCTGGACTAGTTTGGAAGCTTTGATCAGAGATGCCTTTTTCAGGGCTAGCTGTGGAGTGGCTGCTACCCTAGCAAAGCGGAGGCCTGAGATCAAGGTCGTCCAGTCTACGACAGCCTAGCCTACAAGTGTATTAAGGAACAGGGGGCCACAGAGAGTGTTTCTGCGAGGAAATAAGGGTTCTGTGCTGTGGTTGACATGGTTGGGTAGTCCCTCTTGAACTTCGGCCTTCCTTGGCTTTTCTGGCATTGTCTTGCTTTTCTCCGACCACTCCACTGCTTACTTTTTGCTCTAGTGCCAATTCAGCCCTTGGACATTTTTCTGTTCCCAAATAAAACACCTCTCTCTGAAGATAACTCTCCAATTTGTATGTTTAACTTTGACTTATCCTGAGCTCTAGTGCTAGTCACAACCACCTGAATGTCTCATTTGTGTCTCAAATATAAATTTGCACATAAATGCAACCCTTACTCCTCATCAGCACTTTCAGCTTCTTGGCGCTATCCTTCTAGATTTCTAAATCCTTATCTCTTCCTACTCATTTGAATTTTAGCAGTCTTCTCAAAGTTAGCGTTTGTTCATTTTGTTCATTTTTCGGGGTGGACTTACCTCTTCCCTCTTGGCATAGGTTCTGCACCTGACTGCCAGATTAATCTTGTTGACGTTTACTTCAGTGCCTGCCAGTCCTCTGCTCAGAAGCTCTTAGAGGTGCCCCCCTACCTAGGGAATTAAATAAAAACGTTCCAGCCTGGCTTTCAAAGATTTGGCTCCAATTTACTTCATGAATTCAACAATACTTACTGTTATGTTCTAGCTTCTGGGCCGTGCTGTTCTAGGCACTTCTGTTATCCTGTAGCCAACCTGGACGACTTGTTGTTCTTATTGTTTCTTATGGAGGCGGTCAAGTCTGAAAGGAGAGCAGACATGAAACAAATATTTAAGCAAAAGTAATACTTTGTTGCCAATTCTGATAAGTGTCTCAAAGGAAAAGTACAATTATGAGAGAGCCAGATTTAGGAAGGAAGATGGGGTCAGGAAGCCTCTTTAAGAGGCTGATCTTTGAGTTGTTAATAGTGCTCATTCCTTTTTCCATCTGCTCTCTACTCTGGCGAACTACATTATTTTGGTTCTTGCTTCTTGGGGGCTGCCTCTTTTTCTTTTACTTCTATCTAGTTGTGTCTGAAGGGTTAATATTTGATTTTCTGGTTTTTCTTTTTTCTGTGCTGGGAGTCACAAACCCAAAAGCAGAGGCAATTGAGTGATACTCGCTAGATGGCAGCAGTGGGGACTCCTGGGGGCCTAGTGAGCTACAGAGAATGCCCTAAATGAGGCGGCTTCTCGGCCCCAGGAATTGTTGCCATTAGAGAATGTAGACCCAGGGTTTCCACAATGACCAATTTTTCTGGAAAAGCTGGAAAACTGCACTTTTAGTTGAAATCTCGATTTTTAAATGTTTGCAGTTTTAAAGCACTGCTGACTAAGCAAAACACATTTATAGACCCAGGTAGCCTTTAGGTCACTAGTTTTCAACTGCATCTTTTTCAATTATTCCTCTTAGAGAGCTGAGAGGTTCTTATGCCTCAGTGAGTATCTCTGCATGTGACTTCCTGACGTGTCCTAACTTTTCTTTCAAGCTCCATTCTCTCTTCTCTACTTGCTGTTGAATATTTCTACTCATGGCAGTATAAACTCAAGAAATTCAAAATTGAATTCATTCATTCTACAAACCAGGTAGTTTCCTTCCCAACCTTTTCAGTACCTATATTCTGCTGGCTATCCTGGCTTGAAATCCTGGAGTCATTTTTGACATAATTCTTTTCTTTTCCATTGGGTTTTTACTTCATAATAACTTGATAAATCATTCTGTTTCCACAGCTGCTGTTTGTCAGTTCATACCTGAATTGTTTGGCCTTGATTTTCTGCTTTATTCACTTTTTACTTTGCCTGCATCTGCTGTAATAATCTTCATTAGGCACTGTTTTTATTATATCATCTTCTTAAACAGTTTTATCAAGTTAATTTTGTAAGCCCATGTGTGTTTTATTGGATAATTGCAAAAATCTCCTAAATTATAAGTTTCTCCTCCTTCTAGAACAGTTGTTTTTAACTTTAGCTTGTATCAGATCACCTGGAGAGTTTGTTAAACATGGATTTCTGGGCCTTACCCCACAGTTTCTGACTCACTGGGTCTGGGATGGGGCCAAGAATTTCTTCTTCTTCTTCTTCTTTTTTTTTTTTTGAGATTAACCCTGAGCTAACATCTGCTGCCAGTCCTCCTCTTTTTGCTGAGGAAGACTGGCCCTGAGCTAACATCCCTGCCCATCTTCCTCTATTTTATATGTGGGACACCTGCCACAGCATGGTTTGCTGAGCGGTGCTGAGTCCGCACCCGGGATCTGAACCGGTGAACCCCGGGCTGCCAAAGTGGAACGTGCGCACTTAACCGCTGAGCCACCGGGCTAGCCCGGGGCCAAGAATTTCCATGTCTGATAAGTTCCCAGGGGGTGCCCATGGTGCTGGTCCAGGAAACACACTTTGAGAACTGCTCCCAGCAGCCAAATTGACCATGACCTGAAGGAAAGGAGCCTTCAGGTGATGAAGTGAATTAGTAAATTAGCAGTAGCTGGGATGTGCATGCTCTCTTCCCCTCCACCAGATGGCAGTTTTGACGCCAATGGGAGGGAAAGAGAAGAGCAGGAATTCAGAATTACTTGGGGACTGAATACTGAAATACTTTGAGATATATAAGTTAATATCAGATTTTAAATAACAGCTGAGTATGAATTGGAACAAATAGAAGCAATATGATTATATGAAATGTGGCAAGGAGTTTTGTTGTCTTTAGGTTTATTTTCTCTTTTTTTGTAGTAATCAGGGATTTTTGTAACCTATAAATGCCGTGCATGGTGCTTCGCACTTGCACTTGGTAGGTTTAGGTTAACTTTCTTTGAATGAGATAAAATTCCCACTAATAAAACTGGGACTTGAAGCTAGGCCTGTGTTTCTCTTTTTTTATTCTTTATGCTGTACGTAGTACTTAAACTGTTGTTATAAAAGTTGCCAGTCTGGCAGCACCGTCTTTAACCATAAACTGGCATTTGGGTACTGGCCTCATTAAGGAATTCAAAGTTATTCTGGATCTAAAGAAATTAATGCTTACATTTTTTGATACTTAAAAAAAGTTCCAAAAAGGTGAAATTGAGTTAAGTTGAAAAAACTTTTCAGAAATGGTGCTTCAGGGTAAGTATAGTTCACATCTTGAAAGTCTATATGAAATTCCTGTTTAGAAGAGATTCCTAGGTAAGCTAGGATCTGTCACTTCAGTTTTCTTTTTACAAAGTAGTGATTTTGATGACAGCTTGTCTGCACTTTGGAATCCGTTTAAAAACTGTCGAAATCCCTGTGGTCCACCTCCAGAGTTTGCTTTAATTGGTCTTAGTAGTGACCTGGGCTTTGGAATGCTCACAAGAGCCCTCAGGTGATTCTAATGAGCAAACAAGTTGTGGAATTACTGGGCTAGGAGAAGAATATTTTACTTGTGGTAAGGCAAATTCAAAATATGCTAGTCTAGGAATGAAAAGTGTGACTGATTTCAGCAAATTAGTGATTTCCCTCTTTTTTGTAGTAGTATTCAATTTGAATGTAATATGAAAGGGAAGTCATATAAATTCTAAAAAATAAGTTGGGTTACAAATTTTTTTTTTATAAATTCTGTTATCTAAGATGTGGTTACAAGTGTAACAATGGTCATATTGCCTTTTGAAAACATGCCTTAGCTAAACTATTGCCCCTAAGTCTCAAAGTATTCTTGAAAAGTTAATAAATTGGCACTTTATCAGTTCCATCAGATAGTATATGTATCTACACAAGTACATAGTCCTTATCGGCTGCTCCCGCTACTTGTTCCGGCTTTGACCTCTCTTTATACATCTTTAAATTTCTCTTCTTATTTAGTATGCATCCCAGTATAGTCTAACTACAGTGTTTTGATATGCCTTGCTCTCACTATTCTCTGAGTTTCTCAAGGGCAAGAGTGATTTCTTTTGGGAGATTTTTAAAAGGCCCTTTATAAAGATACAATTTGATGAATTTTTACACATTGAACATATCTGTTTCACTGGCACCTGGATCAAGAAACAAGGTAGTCCCAACATCCAGAATCCCTGGTCTTGCCCCTTCTAATCATTGCCCTCCCTTATGTTTCTTTTACTTACTTCTTTAATTACAATGTGCATAAAGTACTTAAATGTGCTGTTTGAAGTCTATAGCTTAGTGAACTTTTACGTGTGTCTACAGTCCTCTCACCTTCCTCTGGATAGAGAGTTTCTAACACTCCATGTTTCCTTATACTCCTCCTCTGCTTCCCCCACCCTCCACTATTCTGACTTTTGTTATTACTGATAACTTTTGCCAAGTTGTGTCTTAAGCTTTGTATTCCTAGCCTAACAACACTTTTAAAACAACAAATTTAGAAGTGTATTGTGTTTATTGTTTTGTAGCCTGCTTTTTTTTGGTAACTTCTGTCATGACTATTTTTCCATGTCATAAGTATTATTTAAATATTTTTATTGGCTGTGTGGTGGTTTTGTGTAGATGACAGTCTTTAAAATATTACCATATTGTTAGATATTTACTTGGTTTCCAGTTTTTCCCTTATGTAAATAGTTGTGAATGTCTTTATAAATCAAACCTTGGTCATAGCTCTGAGATTTCTTTAATACAAATGCTTGTGGAATTGTTAGGTATAAGGGTATGATCATTTTAAAGGTGTGGATCTATGTTTCCAGATTACCTACTGGAAAGGCAATACCAATTTACATATCTCACAGCAGTGTCTGAGAATGCCTATTGCATCCTTATCATACTTTTTTTTTTAATTAATGGACTTTATTTTTTAGAGCAGTTTTAAGTTTACAGAAAAATTGAGCAGAAAATGTTGACAACTGTATAATGACATGTCTCTACCATTACAGTCATACAGACGAGTTTCATGGCGCTGCATATTCTTGTGCTCCACCTTTTCTTCCCTCTGTCCCTTCCCCAAACCACTGGCAACCACTGATCTTTTTACTGTCCCCAGAATTTTACCTTTTATAGAGTGTCCTGTAGTTGGAATCATACAATGTATAGCCTTTTCAGATTGGCTTCTTTCGCTTAGCAATATGCATTTAAGGTTCCTCTATGCCTTTTTGTGGAATGATAGCTGATTTTTTTTTAATTGCTGAGGAATATGCCATTTTATAGCTGTGCCACAGTTTGTTTATTCACCTACTGAAGGACCTCTTGGTTACTTCCACATTTTGGCTAATATGAAGAAAGCCACCATAAACATTCATGTGCAGGTTTTTTTGTGGATGTAGATTTTCAGCTCATTTGAGTAAATGCCAAGGAGTGCAGTTGCTGGATCATGTGGTCAGAGTATGTTTTAGTTTTGTAAGAAACTGCCAAACTGTCTTTCAAAGTGACTCTACTGTTTTGTGTTCCTACCAGCAATGAATGAGAGTTAAACCTTTTTAAATTTTTTTCTTTTTAACTTCTAATATCATTTAGAAGAGGCTAAAGCAAAAGGGAATGTAGTATTTATACATTGAGATATGAGTACCCACGTTATTGTGTTCATTGTATTCTACGTTTGTTTCAGGTTTAATTCATTCAGAAGGACTCATGTCATACTGCAACACTTGGTAAGTTTGTATTCCTAGCCTAACAACACTTTTAAAACAACAAATTTAGAAGTTTTTGTTGATTGTTTTGTGTTTGTTGTTTATTGTGTTTGTTGTACTGTGTTTATTGTTTTGTAGCCTGCTTTTTTGTAACTTCTGTCATGACTATTTTTCCATGTCATAAGTATTATTTAATTATTTTTATTGGCTGTGTGATGGTTTTGTGTAGATGACAGTTTTTAAAATATTACTATATTGTTAGATATTTACTTGGTTTCCAGTTTTTCCCTTATGTAAATAGTTGTGAATGTCTTTAGAAATCAAACTTTGGTTATAGCTCTGAGATTTCTTTAATACAAATGCTTTGTTTGGGACTTTGTTTTGCTGGCATTATTAGATTATGATGTGTAACTTAAAATGTCATTGCTAGGGAAGTAGAAGTACTGGCATGTTTTGTTGACCTTGGTTCATTGTTCCCAATTTTATAGTGTCAGGACTTGACACACATAACTTGTGGGAGGTGGCATAAGGTTATGGATAAGAGCATAGATCTTCAAATCAGAATGGCTGGGTTTAATAATGGGTACACTACTTAATCCTGGGCATATTACTTGACCTCTCTCAGCCTCCTTTTTGATATATATAAAAATGGGGATAATAGCATCCACCTTAGAGTGCTTATGCATAATAAATAAGATAATACATTAAAAAAATGTAGCATAGTGCTTGGTATATAATAATCATTTTATACATGTTAGCTACAATTGTACTAATAGTACCCTTACAAAGCTTAGATGTCCTTAGTTTATCACATTGCAAGGTAGAAATAATTTTTATTTTTGTATTTCTCTGCTACAGACTGGATTTTTGTGTCATCCCCAAATTCATATGTTGTAATCTAATCCTCAGTGTGATGGTATTTGGAGGTCAGGCCTGTGGGAGATAATTAGGTCAGGAGAGTGGAGCTCTCTTGAATGTTATCAGAGCTCTTATGAAAGAGACCCTGGAGAACTCCCTCACCTCCTCTACCTTGTGAGGAATGACACAGTGAGAAGAAAGCCATCCATGAATGAGGAAATGGAACCACACCAGACACTGAATCCGTGGGTGCCTTGATTTGGACTTCCCAGCCTCCAGAACTGTAAGAAATAAATATTTGTTGTATAAGCCACCCAGTCTATGGTATTTTTGTTATAGTGGTTCGAATGGGCTAAGACATCCTCATACAGCCTGACAAGTACCTTGAATGAAAAAAGTCACTCTTGATATAGCACTTACTGTATGCCAGGTGCTATTCTAAGTACTTGGTATGGATGAGCTCACTTAGTTCTTGTTATAGTTGTATGGAGTAAAAACTATTGATCTTTTATCTGCAATTCTGAAACCTCAAAACTAAAAGTTTGATTTGATGACAAAATCTGATCTAACGTACTTGAAGCTCTTTTTGTCTTTATCCTAACTAGTGAAATATTACTGTTTTGGTGCAGAAGTATTAAAGCATTTGATTACAGTTTACTGACCTAGACTCCACTTGAAGTGTTTTATATAGTATGTAATGTGTGCTGTGTTTCCTTTCAAAATCTAGAAAGTTTTCTGAATTCTGAAATGCATCTAGATCCAAGGGTTTTTTTGTTGTTGTTGTTAAGAGATTATGGCCTTATCCCTATTTAATGGATCAGAGATTGAGGGACAGAGAGGCTAACTAATATGCCCCAATGTCACACAGCTAGTAAATAGGAGATGGGATTTGAATCCAGGTGAGCTGGCTCCATAGCCTTACCTCCTGCACTCTACAGCCTCTGGTAGAGTGGGCACTAAGTGGCTATTGTGGATGTATGGACTTGTGGACTATTGCGGACTTGTTTCTCAGGTAAGCCTAAGTGGAGATGGACATCTGAAGACTGGGATATCCTTTCCTACCTTTACTTAATTTCATCAGCTGATATACATGGGGGCTGAGGAGTTTACTGGAAAAATAACTTAGAACGATGTCAATGATTCCTATTTAGATGTACGCACACAGAATAGAACGACCTAACAGAATCCAGATCACATGGGGCTGTGGTGAACTGGGGCATAAACCACACTGAGAGAAGGCAGATAAACTGGGCTCTCATTGACAACCTGAGGGCCAAATGGTTCTAGGTCCCAGTGTTGGCTTTTACATGTACTTCAGAGAGAGAGAGGCTGTATCCCAAATAGTGCTTCTGTGACCCTTCTAAGAGAGCCAATAGAGAGCAAGATCCCTTTTTATTTCATAGTGGAGTCATGGAAATATGGCATCAATGGCAGTATTGTAGGCAGACTTATGAGAAGTAGACAGGACTGATTTGTGACAATAGTGTGACATTTCTTGTGACCTTTCCAAGATCCTTGAATGGAGGCCAAGGTTCTGCATTTCTACAGATGGGGTTTGTCAAGCTAATGCAAACTAGTGGAACCTATTAATGAGGTCTCATTTGTATCCATAGGCTGATTTGGATGTATTTTTACTACAAAGATATTCACAGAAAGACTTTTCTTTCTCTATAATCTTCCATTTTAAACTCTTACACAGCATTTTAATTTAATGTGCAAAAGTTCATTTCGTCCACATAGTTTTGACTTGGACATGGAGAAAACTTCTTTTTTCTTTCAGAAAGTAGTTCTTTTCAGTATGAAGGTATACGGATTGGACCCATGAAATGCTACTGCACATATCCTTTTCATGACAGCAAGCATGTTCTTATGCTGTATGTCCAGATGATGGTCTAGAATCAGTATCAACCAATTTATAATCTGTGCCATCTGAACAGACATTTATTAAGTGTTTGTGTATGCAAAGAACTTAACTAAGCACTTTGAGATACTACTACGAAAAAGGCAGTTCCTGACCCTAAGAAATGAATAGTCTAATGAAAGAGATAGAAATATGTACTAATAAAGAGTGGTAAAAAGGCCAAATACATAAATTAGAGGTGAACAAAAGTGAACAAAAGTGGGATAGACTGATGTTGACTCTGAAACCAATGAAAGCTTTCTGGAGGAATAATTTATTGGATCTGGGCCTAGTAGCATGATCAAGCGTTTCAACAAGTAGAGATGGGAAGTAGTGGAAGTTCATGTAGTAGCCCTAAGAGGTGATTATATTATCTCCGTTTTACAAATGCAGAAATTGAAGCTCTGAGAGTAACTTGCCTGAGGGTGTACAGTAGTGAGTGGCAAAACTAATGTTTAAGTTCATCTGACTCCAAAATCTCTTTTCTTTCTATTACACAATATGCTTATTCTTGGTGGCAAGAACTGCAAGATGGAGAATGGAGGTTACATTCGGGTTTTGTGAGTATCCATTATAAGGAATGCAGTGCAGCAGTGGGCCTAGAGAGTTTACCTGGGCAGATGTGGAGAGACTTGAAGCCTATGTCAAGTAATTTTGGATGTTTTTGAAGTTAATGGAGAGTCACTGAGTATCTTTGATTGGGAGTGACAAGATTAGGAGTGTGCTGTAGCAAAATTTCTCTGATGGCAGTGTGAAGTATAGACCACTGGGCAAAGATCCTGGAAATCTGCAAAAAAGGAAAATTATAATAATGCTGTGTGGCTAGGGCAATGAGAATGGAAAGTAACGGATAGATAAGAGAGTCATTTTAGAAATAGATTCTCTGGTACTTGGCTACAGCCTCAAGATGTTGGTAGAGAGGGAAGGAGAACAGGTAGAAATCAAAGATAAGACCAACATTTTGAGCTTAGTTGACTGAGAAAATGTCATGCCTTTAGCTGTGCTGTGTTACCTGAGGGAACAGAGGAGGAGAAACGAGTGTGGTGGAGAGAGATCCTTCCCCAGTGCCTTCAGAGGGAGTGTGGTCCTGCCAACACCCGGATCTCAAACTTAGAGTGTCTGGAACTGAAAGACAATAAATTTCTGTTCAAGCCACTTAGTTTGTGTACTTTGTCAGGACAGCCTTAGCAAACCTATATGATTATCATGATACATGTCAAAACCAAGATTATTGGTATATATTAATATTAACTTCAGACTTCATTTGGATTTCACCGATTTTTTCATTAATTTTCTGTTCTAAGATCCAATCAATGACACTACGTTGCCATTTCCTTGTCATGTCTCCTTAATCTCTTCTGGTCTGTGACAGTTTCTCAGTCTTGTTTTTCATAACTTTGACAGTTTTGAAGAGTACTGGCCAGGTAGCCTGTAAAATATCCTCTATCTGGGCTTGTGATGGACTGTGTAATTAGACTATGGTTAAAAGGTTTTTGCAAAGAATATCACAAAGGAAAAGCCGCCTTCTCATCACATCATACCACAGAGTATCTGTGGGTTTTGACACATGCATCGGGGAGTACATGACATCCACGCGACATAGCTGGTGACGCTTACCTTCATCACTTGGTTAAGGTGGTGTTTGTCAGGGTTTTCTGCTCTAAAGTTACCATTTTTCCCTTTTCATACTTTATTCTTTGGAAGCAAGTCATTAAGTTCAGCCCACACTCAAAAGTTGAGGGGACTAAGCTCTACCTTCTGGAAGGGTGCTGTCTACATACATTATTTGGAGTTCTTCTGTAAGGAAGATTCTCTCTTCTCCATTTATTTATTTATTCAGTTATTTATATCAATGTGGACTCATGGATATCTATTTATTTTTGATTAATTTTTTTATTGTGGTCATAATAGTTTGTAACATTGTGAAATTTCAGTTGTATGTTATTTGTCAGACACCATATAAGGGTGCCCCTTTACCCCTTGTGTCCACCCCCCACCTACCTTCCCCCAGGTAACCACTAAACTGTTCTCTTTGTCCATAAGTTTGTTTATGTTCATGGATATTTATTTTATTCTTTGGGTTACAATCTAATATCCTATTATTTATTTTCTTACTCAGATTATTCTGACTTTGGCCATTAGGAATACCTTCATTTTGGCTCCTGTGTCTCTTTGATATGACCCCATCCTTTTAATTTTTAAAAATCAAGATCTGAGCTCTGGGAGTACTTTTTGCTACTGGAGTGTCATGGCTTTCTCTCCAGGAATAGAGCTAGGGTAAAGTATGTATATATATATATATATATATTAGAACACATGTGTACTGTATACTAACCTACATATACGTACATATCTATAATTGTTCCTGTATTTATCTATGTGTATATATTAAGCTAAACATGAGTTCATACCGATGTCTCTGACTTTAATCCAGGGCAGAGTTTATTCTAGCTTTCCTGTCTTGATTATCTGTAACTGTCCACCATCTGTTACTTATTTAATCCCAGTGTACATGCAAAGCAGTTTCAGAATTGCTAACCACCCCCTAGGAGAAACGGATTTACCAACTAGAGCGTTGATGTACAGTTCCTTTTGTATTTTTTCTTAGAGTTTCTAATCAAACCACTGTTTTCCAAAATTATTTAGGTCAGCAACCCTGCTGCCACTGCAACCACCATGATCACTTCAGTGAGGTTATATCATACATGAGTACTTCAGTTACATTTATTTGTCACCATCTGCATTCCATGTTGGAATCCCCTCACATCCTGGCTGATTTTTAAAAAACATAATTTGTATACATTAAAGTTCCCTCTTTGTTATGCATGTTTCTGTGAGTTTTGGCAAATGCGTAAATCATGCATCCACCACCCCAAGACCGTATACAGCAGTTCCATCACCCTACAAATTCTCCTGTACTTCCCCTTTGTAGTCAACCACTTCTCCCACCTCCAACCACTGATCTGTGTTATGTCTCTATAGTTTTGTTCTTTACAGAACAGAACATCGTATGAATGGAATCATACATTATAGAGGGTCTGGATTCTTCCATTTGGCAAAGTGCATTTAAAATTCATTTATGTTGTTACATGAATTGATAGCTTGGTCCTTTTTAACACCAAAGAATATTCCATTGTAGTTTATCTATTTTCCTGTTGAAGAGCATCTTGTTTGCCTCCAGTTTTTAGACAATATGAATAAAACTGCTAAACATTTGGGTATAGGTTTTTATGTGAATATAAGTTTTTAATTCACTTGAGTAAATACCTAGATTGCTAGATTGTATGGTAAGTCTATGTATAACTTTACAAGAGTTTGCCAAATTGTTTTCCAAAGTGGCTGTACCATTTTCCATTCCCACCAACAGTGAACAAGAGTTCCTATTGCTCTGTGTACTTGGCAGCATGTTATTGTCTGTTTTCGGATTTTAGCCATTTTAATCTGTGCATGGTGGTATCTCATTGTAGTTTTAATTTGCATTTTCCTAATGATAAATGATATTGTGTTTCATGTGTTTATTTGCCATCCCTATATCCTCTTTTGTGAACATCTTCAGTTTCGTTTGTTTGTTTTTTTACTGAGGAAGATTAGCCCTGAGCTAACATCTGTGCTAGTCTTCCTCTACTTTATATGTGGGTCGCCACCACAGTGTGGCTGATGAGTGGTGTAGGTCCACACCGGGGATCCAAACTTGTGAACCTCAGTTGTAGAATTTATCTGCTAAATTCTATGAAATGAGAAATTTTTGTAATATTCTAGCTGTTCAGTTTAACAGGGACCAGAAACATCATCCAGAACTAACTAGTAGGTGTTAACTTTTAACCTAATTTTCTTAACAATGTTAATTCTGAAACCTTTCCCTAAATCATTTAGGTTATATTTTGCTACACTCATTTTTCAAAAATATTTTTCTGAGAAGTTGCAGAATGACCAAGGTCGTGTATTGAAATGGGTATAATCTCTAAAAACAACATTAAAATTATTTTAAAATTGTGTGAAAGATCACTGCTGAAAATTCAGAAATCATAGTACAAAGAAGAAAATTTAAATAACCAACAATCCTATCCAAGTCTAATCACTAGACATTTTGGTATATTTCCTTCTGATTTATTGCATGTATTCATATTTGCTGTTTTTGACTCTTCTTTTTTACTTTGCATCATATTATGAAACTTGTTATTACCATTGAATATTCAAACATGTTTTTCAGTAACCGTACAGTGTTGTCATATGAGTAACATGGATTAAATGATAGGAGTACCATATATTAATTATTGTGTATTTTTGATATTGTAAATAATTGTATGAAATATCCTTTTTTGTTCTTTGAGACATTCTTGAGTAACCAAATATTCATTATGCCTATGGTAGAAAATTTGAAAAATATGGAAAATCACAAAGAAGGTGGCCCCAAATCATTGTTTATAATTTGATGTATATATGGACATTCTTTTATTTTCTATGTATGTATATATATTTTTAACAAGATTATACTCTAATATAAATATTTCACTAGATTTTGGCTTATTTTCTGAGTATCAATTTCTAAAGTAGAATTATTTCTTCAATGTAAGAATGTTTAAAAGACTCTTCATACACATTGCCAAATTGCTTTCCATTTACACTTTCCCCTGTAAGTGCTTTTGCTTTTAAAGGTTATTTGTTGTCGGTTATGTGGCCACTGCAGTTGTATTTGTTGACGTAAATTATAGTTCCTTGTATCCTGGGTTGTGTCTGTATTTGGATCTATTCTCCTTTAGCAGGTCAGTAAACTTGGCTCATATATTTCATCAACATTACAGAAAATGAAACGACATTGGGAAGTCTGGTTTCTTTTGTGATTTTTGTGTATTCTTTTCTTTTATCAAAAATTTTTCCTTAGTATCAGTAAGATAAGACAATGAAGAATACAGTTTTCTAAGTCATATAGCTTAGTACCTTTTAAACCTAATCTATTGCCCTTTAAAAAATTATTTAAAATATTGTTTTGAATAGGAAGTAAATATGTATGGTACAAAATTCAAAAAGTTCGGTGGGGCCATACAGTAAAAAGTCTTCCCACCTCTGTCTCTCGGATGCTTGATTTTCCTTTGTGGGAGCAACTATTTTAGCAATGTCTTATGTAACCATCTAGAAGTATATTTTCTATATAAGTTTGTTTGTGTCCACGTACACAGTGGGTGGGCAGCCTAGTAAACACACTGTGCACTTGGGATTATTCCATAACAGCGTATGGAGAGGTAGCTGCCTTGCTCTTTTTAAAGGCTCCATAGCATGCATATGTATGAATGACTGTTATTTAACTAGTCTTCCACTGATAACATTTGGGTCATTTCCAGTCTCTTGCCGTTACAAATGACAATGTGGTGACTATCCTTGTGTGTATTTCATTTTGCCTGTATGTAAATATACCTACAGGGTAAATTTCTGGAACAAGAATTACTGTCAGTGTGTATGCTTTTAAAAACGTGTTGTCAGAGTGTATTCCTAGTTCTGTAATAATTCATTCTCCCACAGTATGTCTGTTTCCTCACAATTTAGACATTATAGGATGTCAAACTTTCTGATATTTGTCAGTTTGGTTAAAAAATATATCTTACTGTAGTTAGAGTTTTTAAGTTTTAATTTGAATTGAAGAGATGCAACCTTTTCTGTTGGTTAACAGCCTTTCCTGTAACCCTTTTAAGTGAATATAAATTATTTTATCTGATAATGAATTTTAAGAAAAATTAGCTCTAAATATGCAACATTATTTTATAAAAGAGGACTTAAACATTGTGTAAAGATGTTGCTTAATGTCATCAAAATATGGACTTCTGGGCTTTATTAGATTTTAGTTAATTAGCGTGTTTGATTTTAATTGGCTTTCTCCAGGTAAAATTTTCCAGTTTAAGCTGACTTTGAATTTTATGTTGCACACTGTCCCAATGTGAGGTTTAAAGCATTGTCCTTAGATAAAGGAATGTATTAAGTCTGGTGGTGCTATTAGCCCTAATAGATGTGTATAGCAGAGTCCTGAGAAATTGCTATGTAGTTTAAAATGTGTTCCTCCCAGGTTTTATAGTCGTCTTTTATATTACACGAGCAGTGAGACCTGATGATTGTTATTATGTATGAGGCCCTGAGTGAGTGTATAGGCAAGTTCTTCACAGCTATATGATATGTAAGTTTGTCGTTTTATAATCTGGCCTCAAACTACTTATGCTGCCTACTTTCCCATCATTTTCTCAACCAACCTTTATTCCACTCATGTTTAACATCTTAATATTTCCAAATACTCAGTGCTTATGTTTTAGCATGTGCTATTTTCTAGGATTCTCAACCCCCTTTTTCTTGGCATACATCAAGGCCCAGCTCAAATATCACTTTTTTCCACATTGTCAGTATCTGCTGTAGTCAGAATTATTTGCCCTCTCAGTTCATCTTTGCTTTCCAAGCACCTAACATAATGCTTGGTATACAGTAACAAATGAAAAGATTTAAGAGCATTTCATAGTCCAGGTAATTCTGGGATTGAGTGCTATTCTAAATAGTTGACTCAGTTTACTCAGAAGTAAAAATTAAACTTAAGAGGTATGTATTTTCTTTGGAATTGTCCATCTATGGTCTAAATGACTTTAGAAATCTTTGGCAGATGTATCTAGTTATTCATTCAGTTGGTTACCATTGTTAACGTAACTTTTAATGTACCATTGTGTGAAAGATTTGCATTCACTGTATATGTTTTGGTGTTGGCATGTGACAAAAACTTAATAAATTTTATCCTAAAGTTATTCTTTGTTTACACAGAGAATGTCAAAGCACACAGATGCAGCAGAAGTACTATTGGAAAGAAAAGGTTGTGCAGGAGTGATAACACTAAACAGACCAAAGTTACTAAATACACTGACTGTCGGTATGATTCGGCAGATTTATACACAGCTAAAGGTTTGTAATTTTCTTAAAGCAATTATATGGATCGTTTTAAAAGTATATCTTAGTAGAACGAAGAATAGTTCTCCTTTGGTCACTGGTTCCTTAATTCTTCATTTGATGAGTCTCTTTTCCATTCCGCTGTGTCTGTTTGGGACACCTTATAATATGTTGTTAATAATTGTGAGACAGAGAAAGAAGCCAAGTGTTCCAGATTAGAATTGCACCAGAGTGGAAGAAAATAGAAACTTCCATGTTAGTATACTATATTTTTACTAATGTAGTCCAGTATTGCATTAACCTTTTGAACAACCGCATCTGTCCAGCTATGTCTCTTCCTTTTGCATATGTTTTTAATTGCGAGTAGAATTCATAGAGCCTCTGTTAATTTTTCTGTGTCTGGTTAACTAATTTTTTATTTGGTCCTTTGTTGTAGCCTTTTGAATTTTCTTTGACTCTTGATTCTTTCATCCTTCTTATTTATTAGCTATCCTTACCCCAGATCACTTCTGGATTTGATCATTATAGGTGATTTCACGCTGTTGCTTATAAATATGTCAGTACAACAGACCCCTATATCACCACAGTAGAAAGGGTAATGCTCTCTTATCAGCAATCTTTGGGTTGATGTAGTCATCAGATTTATAAGCTTATGTAACGTAATATCATTAAGCTCATATTTTTTCATCTTGGTCTCAAAATTGTCATGGCAAAGATTTCAGATGCTGTCATGAAATTTGGATCACAAAATGTACTCATCTAACAACTTTGTTGTAACTGCCTCTAATTTATGTCAGAAAAGAAAATGAAGTCGGGATCCCTTCTTCTAGATATGCTTTATAAAGCTTGTGCTTTATATATATATCCATATATACCTCTCTATACACGTGTATGTGTGTATATATATGTATATGTACATATGGGTTATCTTTAATGAGTTTGTATTTATAATATGCTTATACCATCTTCTTTTGCATTTGGATAGAAGTGGGAACAAGATCCTGAAACTTTCCTGATCATTATAAAGGGAGCTGGAGGGAAGGCTTTCTGTGCTGGGGGTGATATCAGAGGTAAAAACTTTTTTCCCTCTCACCTAAATCCTTTTTTTCCCTAATAAAACTGAGACACTGTTAGCAAATTTTTGTAGTATTTCATAATTTGCTTTACTTTTGAGAATTTTTTTGTTATAAAGTTAATACATTCTTATGTAGCTAAATTAGAAAAAGGAGAAATTTAAAGACTTACCTTTTGTAGTTAATATTAGAAAAAACGAGGAGAAGAGTGATTTTTTAAAATTACTTACTTCCTTTCAAATATCTTATCTTTCTCCCTGACTCATTCTAAACAAAATGTCCAGTTAACGGTAGGTGAATCCACTTTTTACTTTAGAATGGCTGATATTAAGCAGTTCAGTTTGTCACCTCACCTGACAAGCTGGCCATGTTGAGTGACTTGCCGTTCTCCAAACATGACATGCTGTCACATATTTCTATGACTTTGTGCTTTCCCACTGTTTATGGTCCCAAAGCAAGAATGTACTAATTATAGCATTTATCCTATTGTATTGTCACTAACATGTGTTTAAATAAACATGCTGAGATAAAAAGATTAATTCTCCTTTCTAATCATTTAGGTCGATCTGTCTGTACACATTTAACTATTAAAGACAAAAGAAAGAAATGTTTGTTCTTAGGATCAAAGTCATGTACTTATTTTTCCACCACTGGTTGTCAGTATTTTATACATACTGAAAACTATTTTTTACATTTTGTATTTTGTTTCTTGTGGAGTTGGTAGTGTCCAGGGATGGTTTTTTCCTTATGTTTTTGTTTTGTATATTTGTTCTTTTGTGTTGTAAGATAATATTGTTTGGGTTGATCTATTTACCAAATTTATAAGTTTATGTAAACCAGTATATTTGGAATGAGAAGAAATAAGCTTGATTCAGGACATAGTTTCACATACCTATTAAATTTAAAGTTACTGAATCGTAAAATTGCAGTTAAAATTTTTCAATTACTCAGACAAATCTTTGTTAACCGAATCGTTTTTGAATTTATTGTTTTGCCCACAACATGAATAATTTTAAAACATTGTGTATCAGCCTGGAATTAACTTTTTCTCTGGAGTTGAGCATATAATCTGGTCAGTTTACTGAAGGGCAGAGCCTTGTGTATTGATTTGAACTTCTTCTGACTGTGAGCTATTTTTGCATCTAGGCCTAATTTTATACTGATGTTAGAAATACAGTTACAAATTCTAGAATTATTCTAGTTACATGTATAAAGCAATGGCAATTCCAGGAAATTTAGTTTCTTTAAAGATCATAATCTAAGACAATAAATCGGCACCCAGCAAATTTTTTTAAAATGGTATGAATGTCATTTAATTTTAATTTATATGGAGCTAATTGATTAGAATAAGATTAGAGGAAACCTAAGAATATTTGAGGTAAAAGAGCTTCATTCCACAAGCAGTACAGTTTACACTCTTTTCCTCTTGAAATTGGTAAGCAGTGATAAGGACTGACTAAAATACAATAGATGAGGGGTTTTTTGGGGCATATGTCAGTGAAAGCCTCAGAGTAACAAAACTAGGTATCACATCTTTCTTTTAAAAACCAGAAAAAGAAGTCAACGTTTGGAATATTTTGAAGGAAGATATATCAGAGTTTTAGAGTTAGTCTAAAAATCTATAAATAGTCAATACTTTATTTTTTTGGTAATTTATTTTTTTTTATTGAAATCACATTGGTTTATAACATTATATAGATTTCATCTGTACATCACTACATTTTGGCTTCTGTACAGACTGCATCGTGTTCACCACCAAAAGTCTAGTTGCCTTCCCTCACCATATGCATGTGCCCATTTACCCCTTTCCCCTCCCCATGTACTCTCCTTCCCCTCTGGTAACCACCAGTTTGTTTTCTGTATGTGTGTGTGTGTTTATCTTCTCCACAACCCCTCTAATGTTTGTTATTTTTTGTCTTAGTGATTATGAACATTTTAATGGGTGTAAGGTGGTATCTTAGGGTAGTTTCAATTTGCGTTTCTCTGATGATTAGTGATGTTTAGCATCTTTTCATGTGCCTGTTGGCCATCTGTATGTTTTCTTTGGAGAAATGTCTGTTCATATCCTCTGCCCATTTTTTGATCGGGTTGTTTGTTTTTTTGTTGTTGAGTTGTGTGAGTTCTTTATATATAATGGAGATTAACCCCTTGTTGGGTATATGATTTGCAATTATTTTCTCCCAGTTGGTGGGTTGTCTTTTTGTTTTGATCCTCCTTTCCCTTGCCTTGCTGAAGCTCCTCAGTCTGATGAAGTCCCACTTGTTTGTTTTTTCTTTTATTTCCCTTGTCCAAGAAGACATGGTATTCAATAATATCCTTTTAAGATCGATGTGAAAGAGTGTACTACCTGTATTTTCTTCCAGAAGTTTTATGGTTTCAGGTCTTACCTTCAAGTCTTTGATCCATTTTGAGTTAATTTTTTTGTATGGCGTGATATAGTGGTCCACTTTCATTCTTCTGCATGTAGCTGCCCAGTTTTCCCAACATCATTTATTGAAGAGACTATGTTTTCTCCATTGTATGTTCTTAGCCCCTTTGTTGAAGATTAGCTGTCTGTAGGTGTGTGGTTTTATTTCTGGGCTTTCAATTCTGTTCTGTTGATTTGTGCCTGCACCAGTACCATGCTATTTTACTGCCATAGCTTTGTGGTACATTTTGAAGTCAGGGATTGTGATACCTCCAGCTTTGTTCTTTTTTCTCAGGATTGCTTTAGCTATTTGGGGTCTTTTGTTGTCCCATACGGATTTAGGGTTCTTTGTTCTATTTCCATGAGGAAAGTCATTGGGATTCTGATTGGAATTGCATTGAATCTGTAGATTGCTTTGGGTAGTATGGAAATTTTAACTATGTTTATTCTTCCGATCCATGTGCATGGAATCTCTTTCCATTTCTTTATGTCATCATTGATTTCTTTCAGCAATGTTTTATAGTTTTCACTGTATGGGTCTTTCACCTCCTTGGTCAAATTTATTCCTAGATATTTTATTCTTTTTGTTGCAATTGTAAATGCGATCATATTCTTGAGTTCTCTTTCTGTTAGTTTGTTATTGGAGTATAGAAACACAACTGATTTTTGTAAGTTGGTTTTGTACCCTGCAACTTCACTGTAGTTGTTGATTATTTCTAATAGTTTTCCAATGGATTCTTTAGGGTTCCCTCTATATAAGATCATGTTGTCTGCAAACAGCTAGAGTTTCACTTCTTCATTTCCTCTTTGGATTCCTTTTATTCCTTTTGCTTGCCTAATTGCTCTGGCGAAAACCTCCAGTACAGTGTTGAATAAGAGTGGTGAGGGTGGGCACCCTCGTCTTGTTCCTGTCCTCAGAGGAATGGCATTCAGTTTTTCTCTATTGAGTATGATGTTGGCTGTGGGTTTGTCATATATGGCCTTTATTATGTTGAGGTAATTTCCTTCTATCCCTGTTTTGTTAAGAGTTTTTATCCAAATGTCTATTGGATCTTGTCAGATGCTTTCTCTGCATCTATTGAGATGATCATGTGGTTTTTATTCCTCATTTTGTTAATGTGGTGTATCACATTGATTGATTTGAGGATGTTGAACCATCCCTGCATCCCTGGTATAAATCCCACTTGATCATGGTGTATGATCTTTTTGATGTGTTGCTGAATTCAGGTTGTCAATATTTTGTTGAGAATTTTTGCATCTATGTTCATCAGCGATATTGGCCTGTAGTTTTCCTTTGTAGTTCTTTTCTAAGTTACTTGCTTCTACCTTGCTGCCCTTAGTATTTTTTCTTTTTCATTGACTTTTGCCAGCTTCACTACTGTATGGTTTGTAGGAGTTCTTTCTGCATTGACAAAGTTAGGAGATCTGGTGGCAACCTTCATGTTAATTTCCATCTCCTTCCCTAGGTTTGGGAAGTTCTCCGCTTTTATTTCCTTGAACAAGCTTTCTGCTCCATTCTCCTTCTCTTTCACCTTTGCAATACCTGTAATCCTTATGTTGCATTTCCTAATTGAGTTGGATAATTCTTGGAGACTTTCTTCATTTCTTTTTAGTCTTAGTTCTTTCTCCTTGTTCAGATTTCTAAATTTCTATCCTTGTTCTTGCTGATTCGTTCCTTGATAATATCTGCTAAAGTGTTCAGGGAATCTATATTCTGCTTTATCTCATCCATTGTGTTTTTCATCTCCAATAATTCTGCTTGGTTCTTCTTTATAGTTGCAATCTCTCTTTGAAGTAGCTCCTGAACTTGTTGAATTGTCTATCTGTATTCTCTTTTAATTCGTTTAGTTTTTCATGGATAGCTATTTTGAATTCTCTGTCCTTTATGTTATAGTTTTCTGTGTCTTCAGGATTGATTTCTGGGTAGTTGTCACTTTCCTTGTGGTCTGGAGATACAATGTAATTTTTCATACTACCAGATGTCATATATTTGTGCTTCCACATTGTGGTAGTATTTGATTGCCACTTCTACCTTGGGCCACTAGTTGGGAGTCAAGAGCTGTATATTCTGCACCCACTGCGAACTGAGGGGACAGCTCCAAGGTGCTGTGCTGTGGCGTTGGAGCAGTGGGTGGGTGGGAATGGTGCTTTCTTCTCCTGCATGATCTCAGGGGCGTCTCACTCTGCCCTTGCTATCTCGTCTCTTAGGGTGTTGGCTTGATGCAGACACCCCTGTGATAGCTATTCCCCTCTGTGAGGGACTTTTCCCCAGGCTGTGAGGGACTTCAAGGATCTATGGCGTTCCCTTGGAGGGCCTCCCCACTTTCCTCGCTGTGACTGTGTCACTGTCCTTCCATGAGGAAGAGAGGCATTCTCTTACCTCAATCCACTCCACTTCCTCGGAGTGCTCCAGTGCCTCCACCTTCTGACGTATGACTGTGTCAGTCTCTCAGATGTCTTTTCTGTTGTATGGATGTCCTCTGTTGGAATATGTATGTCCTTTTTGTTGTATCTTTGGGAGGAGAGCTCACTCTGCCATGATGCTGACATCACTCCTCCTCTGCACATTTTTTGATCAGTTTGTTTTTTTGTTGTTGAGTCGTATGAGTTCTTTATATGTCTTGGATATTAACCCCTTATCAGATATAATTTTCAAATATTTTCTCTCAATTGGTGGATTGTCTTTTCATTTTGTTGATGGTTTCCTTTGCCGTGCAGGTTTTTAGTGTGATGTAGTCCCCTTTGTTTATTTTTTTCTTGTTTCCCTTACCTGAGGAGACATAGTATTCAAAAAGATGCTGCTAGGACTGATGTGAAAGAGTGTACTGCCTATGTTTTCTTCTAAGAGTTTTGTGATTTCAGGTCTTACATTCAGGTCTTTAATCCATTTTGAGTTTATTTTTGTGTATGGTGTAAGATAATAGTCTACTTTCATTCTTTTGCACATGGCTGTCCAGTTTTCCCAACACCATTTATTGAAAAGACTTCCCTTTCTCCGTTGTATGTTCTTGGCTCCTTTGTCAAAGATTAGCTGTCCTTATTTGTGTGGGTTTATTTCTGGGCTCTTGATTCTGTTCCATTGATCTGTGTGTCTCTTTTTGTGCCAGTACCGTGCTGTTTTGCTTACTATAGCTTTGTAGTATATTTTGCACTCAGTGAGTGTGACACCTCCAGTTTTGTTTTGTTTTTTTTTTCTTAGGATTGCTTTGGCTGTTCGGGGTCTTTTGTTGTTCCATACAAATGTTAGCATTCTTTGTTCTGTTTCTTTCAAAAATGTTGTTGGGATTGCATTGAATACTGTACATTGCTTTAGGTTAATTCTTCCATCCGTGAGTGTGGAGTATCTTTCCATTTCTTTATGTCTTCTTCAGTTTCTTTCAACAATGTCTTATAGTTTTCAGTGTATAGGTCTTTCACCTCCTTAGTTACATTTATTCTAGATATTCTTTTTGTTGTGATTGTAAATGGGATTTTATTCTTGATTTCTCTTTTTGCTAGTTTGTTGTTGGTGTATAGAAATGCAAATAGTCCACAATTTTTATGAAACTCTTTCCCATAAAAGAAAAAATATGTATATTATGGATTTAATTTTTATTTTAGTCGGTAATTCTCATAGGGCTTAAGGACAGCAAAGGCATTAAGCTTACAGTATATGGAAGAGAAAGCTTTGAAAGTAGTCTTGACATTGACTAGAGTAGGAGTACAGTAGATGTGAACTCTGGATAATGGGAAATTGCAATAGAAATGAAACTATTTGCTAGTATTTATTATTCAGATATTTACTGAGCACGTGTTTATTAAGCTGGGCAGTAGTATGCTATGGCAATGACTTTCAGAAGTTATATTGCCATTGATATTATTAATAAATAAGGATATTACTATCTCATTTACCTCTCTATCCTCACCTTTTACCATTCTCCTTTAGTCCTTTAAAACTGTGTATTTCTTGGTTTCATTCATTCTTGCCTGTGTGACTTCCTTGGTGTTCCTTCCTCTACTCGGAACTTTTTCCTGTCATTTACTAGGAAATCCCTACCTATTGTTTGAATTTGGCTCACACTCATCTCTTCTGGGAAGCCTTCCTTTAATTCTATCTCTCATGCTTCCGTTCCTACAGTATCCCAGCCTTACACTGGGCATAGCATAAAGAGTGTATTTTAATAGTCTGTCTGTCTTATTAGTCTAAACTCCGGGGCACCCATCTTACACTGACATCTTATTATCTGCAACACCTAAAACAGTGCATAGTACCTAGTAGATGCTCAAGAAACGTTTCATGGTGAAATGAATGTGGCAGAAACACTTAACTAGATGGAAGATACTATAGAACTGTGTGTGTGTACACACATATGCATATATTTCTCTGTGTATGTATGTATAAATGTACTTTGTGTTAAGATATATTCCCAGAGGATGTGTATATCCAGCAAATGTTTTTTCAGGTGCTGCAGAAAACAATCAAAAGAAAATGCTTTTTGGGGCCAGCCCCGTGGTGCAGTGGTTAAGTGTGCACATTCTGCTTCTCGGTGGCCCAGGGTTCGCCAGTTCGGATGCTGGGTGCGGACATGACACCGCTTGGCACACCATGCTGTGCTAGGCATCCCACATATAAAAAGTAGAGGAAGATGGGCACAGATGTTAGCTCAGGGCCAGTCCTCCTCAGCAAAAAGAGGGGGATTGGCAGCAGTTAGCTCAGGGCTAATCTTCCTCAATAAACAAAAGAAAATGCTTTTGGTAGCAATATATAACTTCTAATTTAAGTGTAACACTTTCTAAGAAGTTCTTAATAACATTTTTGCCCAGAAGTTTTGACATTGGACTATGCATCTGGGGCTAACTGTAATATTATCTGTGGTGTGGGCAACCTCAAAATTTTAATAAATTATTCTAGAATTTCCCCCTGTTGCTTAATATCACAATATTTTAAAGTTGTTCTATTTGCCTGTATGGACTGTAAAACACTTCTTTTGATTTGTAATTCTTCCTTTCTTTCTTTTTCTTTCTTTTTTTGGTAGCAATTTCAGAAATTGGAAATAAAAACCAGAAGATACTTCAAGATTTCTTCAGAGAAGAATATATGCTGAACAATTATATTGGTATGTGTGCTCTGCTGAGGGCTTTCAAAATGGAATCAAGAAATAAGCTACATAGTATGAATTGTTAAAAATGTAATCACTAGGCCTTCTTTAGACTGGTAATGACTTTATTTATTTGTTTAAATACATTTTTATATTCATTTTGTTAATTGACATAACATTAGTTTATAACATTATATAGATTTCAGGTGTACATCATTATATTTCGATTTCTGTGTAGATTTCATCATGTTCACCACCCAAAGACAAAATACCATCCATCACCATACACAAGTACCTAATCACCCATTTTCCCCTCCTCCCTCACGCTTTGCCCTCTAGTAACTACAAATCCAATCTCTGTTTCTAGGTGTTTTTTGTTGTCATCTTCTATTTATGAGTGAGATCTTGTGGTATTTGACTCTCCCTCTGACTTATTTTGCTTAGCAGAATATTCTCAAGGTCCATCCGTGTTGTCACAAATGGCCAGATTTCATCCTTTTCTTTTTTTTTTTTTTTTATCACTGAGTAGTATTCCATTTTGTATGTATACCACATTGTCTTTATCCATTCATCCCTTGATGGGCAGCTAGGTTGCTTCCAAGTCTAGGCTCTTGTGAATAATGCTGCAGTGAACATAGGAGTGCATATATCTTTATGCACTAGTCTTTTCGTGTTCTTTGCATAGATAGCCAGCAGTGGAATAGCTGGATCGTTTGCTAGTTCTATTCTTAATTTTTGAGGAATCTCCGTACTATTTTTGATAGTGGCTGCACCAGTTTGCCCTCCCACCGGAAGTATATGAGAGTTCCCTTTTCTCTACATCCTCTCCAGCAGGTATTTCTTATCTTGTTGATTATAGCCATTCTGACAGGCATGAGTTGATATCTCATTGTAGTTTTGATTTGCATTTCCCTGATAGTGATGTTGAACATCTTTTCATGTGCCTGTTGGACATCTGTATTTCTTCTTTGGAAAGATGTCTATTCATACCCTCTACCCATTTTTTCATCAGGTTTTTTTTTGTTTTTGAGATGTATGAGTAGTTTATATAGCTTTGCTGTTAACCCCTCATCAGATATATGGTTTGCAAATATCTTCTCTTGATTGTTAGGTTAACTTTTCATTTTGTTGATGGTTTCCTTTGCTGTGTAGAAGCTTTTTACTTTGTTGTAGTCCCCTTTGTTTATTTTTTCTTTTTTTCACTCGCCTGGTCAGACATGGTATTTGAAAATACACTACTAAGACCGATGTTGAACAGCATACTGCCTATGATTTCTTAAAGAAGTCTTATGGTTTCAGGTCTTACGTTCAAGTCTTTAATCCCTTTTGAGTGTAGTGTAAGATAATGGTCCAGTTTCATTCTTTTGCATGTGGCTATCCAGTTTTCCAAACACCATTTATTAAAGAGACTTTCCTTTCTCCATTGTATGTTCTTGGCTCCCTTGTTGAAAATTAGCTGTCCACAGATGTGAGGGTATATTTCTGGGCTCTCGATTCTGTTCCATTGATCTGTGTGTCTGCTTTTCTGCCAGTGCCATGCTGTTTTGCTTACTATAGCTTTGTAGTATCTTTTGAAGTCAGGGAGTATGGTACCTCCAGCTTTGTTCTTTTTTCTCAGGATTCCTTTGGCTGTTTGGGGTCTTTTGTTGTTCCATATAAATTTTAGGACTCTTTGTTGTATTTCTGTGAAAAATGTTATTGGAACTTTGATAGGGATTGCATTGAATCTGTAGATTGCTTTAGGCAGTATGGACATTTTAACTGTGTTAATTCTCCCAACCCAAGAGCACAGAATATCTTTCCATTTCTTTGCGTCTTTTTCAATTTCTTTCAATGATGTCTTTTAGTTTTCAGTGTACAGTCTTTTCACCTCTTTGGTTAAATTTATTCCTAGGTATTTGATTCTTTTTGTTGCAGTTGTAAATGGGCTTGTATTCTTAATTTCTCTTTCTAATTCTTCATGGTTAGTGTATAGAAGTCACTTTTGTATGTTGATGTTGTGTTCTGCAACTTTACCATATTCATTTATTATTTCTAAAAGTTTTTTGTTGGATTCTTTAGGGTTTTCTATATATAAAATCATGTCATCTGCAAATAGTGACAGTTTCACTTCTTCCATTCCAATTTGGATGGCTTCTGTTTCTTTTTGTTGCTTCATTACTCTGGCTAGGACTTCTAATACTATGTTAAATAAGAGTCGTGAAAGTGGGCATTGTTGTCTGGTTCCTGTTCTTAGAGGGATAGCTTTCAATTTTTCTCTATTGAGAATGATATTAGCTGTGGGTTTGTAATATGTGGCCCTTATCATGTTGAGGCACTTTCCTTTATACCCATTTTATTCAGAGTTTTTATCATAAATTGATGTATCTTGTCAAATGTTTTCTCTGTATCTATGGAGATGATCATGGCATTTTTATTCTTCATTTTGTTAATGTGATGTGTCACATTGATTGATTTGCAGATATTGAACCATCCCTGCATCCCTGGAATAAATCCTCCCTGATCATGCTATATGATCTTTTTAATGTATTGTTGTATTTGATTTGCTGGTATTTTGTTGAGGATTTTTGTGTTGATATTCATCAGTGATACTGGCCTAGAATTTTCTTTTCTTGTGTTGTCCTTACCTGGTTTTGGTATCAGGGTAATGTTGGCTTCATAGAATGAGTTAGGATCCTTCCCATCCTCTTCACTTTTTTGGAAGAGTTGGATTGCATAGCTATTAAGTCTTCTTTGAATGTTTGGTAGAATTCACCAGGGAAGCCATCTCATCCTGGACTTTTATTTTTTGCAGGTTTTTCTTTACTGTTTCTATCTCCTTAATGGTTATTGGTCTATACAGATTCTCTATTTCTTCTTGACTCAGTTTTGGAAGTTTTGATGATTCTAAGAATTTATCTGTTTCTTCTAAATTATCCAGTTTGTTGGCATATAGCTTTTCATAGTTTTCTCTTATAATCTTTCATATTTCTGAGGTGTTTGTTGTAATATCCCCTTTCTTTTCTGATTTTATCTATATGAGCCTTCTCTCTCTCTCTCTTTTTTTTTTTTTTGGTGAGTCTAGCTAAAGGCCTGTTCATTTTGTTTATCTTTTCAAAGAACCAGCTCTTAGTTTCACTGATTTTTTTCTATTTTTTTAATTCTCTATTTCATTTATTTCTCCTCTGATTTTTATTTCCTTCCTTTACTGATTTTGGGCTTTGTTTGTTCTTCTTTTTCCAGTTCCTTTAGGTGCACTGTGAGATGGTTTATTTGAGACTTTACTTGTTTGTTGAAGTAGGCCTTTATGGTGATAAACTTCCCTCTTATAACTGCTTTTGCTGTATCCCTTAAATTTTGGCATGTCGTATTTTCATTTTTATTTGTCTCCAGGTATTGTTTTTCTTTCTACTTTGATTTCTTTGTGGCCTGAGTTCCTGTTCAGTAGCATTTTGTTTAGTCTCTACATATTTATGGCTTTTACAATTTCCTTCCTGTAGTTGATTTCTAGTTTCATGCCATTCTGGTCAGAAAAGACGCTTAGTATTATTTCAGTTTTCTTAAATTTATTGAGACTTGTTTTGTGGCCTAATATGTGATCTCTCATTGAGAATGTTCATGTGCAGTTGAACACAATGTGTATTCTGCAGTTTTTGGTTGGAGTGTTCTGTATATATCTGCTAAGTACATCTGGTCTAATGTGTCATTTAAGGTCTGTGTTTCCTTATTGAAATTCTGTTTGGATGATCTAGCCATTGTTGTCAGTGGAGGGTTGAAGTCCCCTACCATTTTTCTTTTTTTTAAAGATTGGCACCTAAGCTAACAGCTGTTGCTAATCCTCTTTTTTTCTTCTTCTTTTTTTCCCCCAGTACATAGTTGTATATTCTAGTTGTAGGTGTGGGATATCACCTCAGCAAGGCCTGATGAGCAATGCCATGTCTGTGCCCAGGATCCAACTAGGGAAACCCCAGGCTGCCAAAGTAGAGCATGCGAACTTAACCACTCGGCCTAAGGTCTGGCCCCAAAGTCCCCTAGTATTATTGTCTGTTTCTCCTTTTATGTCTGTTAATAATCACGTTATATGTTTAGGTGCTCCTATGTTGGGTACATACGTATTTACAAGTGTTATATCCTCTTGTTGGATTGTTCTCTTTATCATTATGTATTGCCCTTCTTTGTCTCTTGTTACAGTTTTTGTTTTAAAGTCTATTTTGCCTGATGTAAGTATTGCTACCCCAACTTTCTTTTCATTGCCATTTGCATGGAGTGTCTTTTTCCATCCTTTCACTTTGAGTTTGTGAGTGTCCTTAGGTCTGAAGTGTGTCTCTTGTATGCAGCATATATATGGGTCTTGTTTTTTTATCTCCTTGGCCACCCTGTGCCTTTTGATTGGAGAGTTTAGTCCAGTGACCTTTAAGGTAGCTACTGATAAGAATGTACTTATTGCCATTTTGTTACTCTGTTTCTGTGTTTTTTAGTAGTTCTTCTCTGTACCTTTCTTCTTTTCTTGCTCTTTTCTTTTGTAATTTGATGGCTTTCTTTAGTATTATGTTTGGGTTCCTTTCTCTTAATTTTTTATTTATTATAGGTTTTCGGTTTGTCATTACCATGAGGTTCCTATATAATAACCTACGTATATGGCAATCTATATTAAGTTGATGGTCTCTTATGTTTGTCCTCTTGCTAAAAGCTCTACTCTTTTACTCCCCTCCTCTCACATTTTGTGTTTTGGACATCATTTCTAAACTCTTTTTTGTGCGTGTGTATCCATTACCATCTTATGGCAATAGATAATTTTAGTACACTTGTTTTTTGACTCTCATATTAGTTTCATAGGTGGTTGATCTGCTACCCTTATTGTATATTTGCCTTATCAGTGCTTTTATTGTGATAATTTTCTTATTCCTGTATGCAGTCTTTTCTTTTTCCACTTAAATAAGTTCCTTTAGCAGTTCTCTATGGCTAGTTTCTTGATGATAAACTCCTTTTGTTTTTGCTTGTCTGGAAAACTCTTTTATCTTTCCTTCTGTTCTGAATGA